CAGTCAGTCAGTCAGTCAGTCAGTCAGTCAGTCAGTCAGTCAGTCAGTCAGGCAGTCAGTCGATCATTCGGTGGTCGTAAACTATTTTTTGGTCCGTGACAACTTCATTAAACGATTCAGAAAGGAGGAAAAACCTTAATTAAAACGAAACCCACGGCGCGTACAATTCTTTTGCACCTGCTGTGTTCTCCCTACATTTGCACCTGCCCACGGTGATTTGCCTAAAGCCAAGGCTAATTTCAGTCAGCAAGAAAAAGGTTCGTAATTGATACTTTTGGGAGTCACGAAGCGTGCTTGTCTGATACAGAGTTTGCAGGCGTGAGGCGTTACTTGTGAAACGAGAATTGAGACTTCCGTTTCCTGTCAATTTTCCCTTTCGACTGGCAAGTTCTAGGTACTGACTTTGGTAAACATAAAAAATGTTACCTAGTTTACCTGTAACTTGTTTTCTCAGTCCTAGCTGCTGGCTTTTCTCAGTCCTATTACGTTGTGCGTAAAATTATTGAAAAAAAAAAAAAAAACACAGCAACTTTTTCAGAATATCAGTATGCACTCCGTAATTTCTATCCATTATGATCTGCTGTTTGTTCCTTTAGTTGTAGCTCAAGCTAGGGCCCTGTCTCATGTAACAGCTCCTGACCTGGGAAAGTGATCTGTTCAACTTGATGGCTGAACAATATTCTAGCGATTTAAATTGTAAGTATAAGGCTCGCTAAACAAGACGGAAATGTACTAATACCCTGACTCAAAATCAGTTGCTAGTAAGCAGGTCGAAGTCTACTACAGCTAGTATCACAGCTGTGAACCAAGTTGATACACAAAGTTTTGCAAATCTTACGGAGGAAGTAAACATTTTTTTTTTCTTGCTGTCTCTGTTTTATTCCGTCACTTACATTTCTTTACATTACATTTTTTTGGTTCTTCTGAGGCTTCAATATCAAGAAAGCAAGCCGCGAGTTCATCTACTTCGGCTGCAGCACTCGGGAATGAATCGGAAGGAAAGCTTCTAATAATATTCGTAAACGTTCGTGTGGCCGTTGGATAAGTCTGAGAGAATCTTCGAAAATCGACTTCGGAAAGTGTTCTAAAATCTTCGGAAAATCGTCAAAAACGTCATTTTTGAAATACTTTGAAATAAGTGAAAGTTCAAAATTTGTCATTTAAAAGTTCACTGGTTTTATGTAAAGGGAACCAAATTATTTTGATTCTAAAGGCATCTCACGCTAGCTTCATATTGTCTTTTACAAAAAACGAACAGTTTCTCATTTCGCATTATTTATAACGGAGTCCTCGTGACCTTTAGGGAGGCGCGGTAGCCTCATGGTTATTGCGCTCGACTCCGGATCGAGCGGTCCGGGCTCGGCCCTGGCCGGGGACATTGTGTTGCGTTCTTGGGCAAGACACTTTACTCTCACAGTGCTTCTCTCCACCCAGGTGTATAAATGGGTACCGGTGAGTTTAATGCTGGGGGAAACTCTACGATGGAAAGCATCCAATCAAGGAGGAAGTAAAAATACTCGTAATCGCTTCATGCTAAAGAAACCGACGATAATCGCCGGCCTGGTGGGCCAACTGAGTCGTATACAGACTTTGGCTGTACCAACGTACCATTTTCTTTTCGATTTATGCCTTTTTTCATCCCCAGGAGTGAAGGCTCGAAACCAAAGATCCTCGCGTATGGATAAAAGCTACCTAAAAAACATGAGAGTGACATTTTTTTCTATTATTATTATTATTATTATTATTATTATTATTATTATTATCAATACAACATGAACTACAATAGGACAGTAAAAGGAGATAAAAAAGATAATACAGAAGACAATGATGTGTGTTACAAAAATACAAACAAAGAAGAATTACAAACTATTACAAAGTACAACATTTTGAGTAGGTACGTTGCAAAAAAAAAAGAAACAATTACTAAATTAAGAATTAATTAAATTAATTAACAACTTGACTAAGTAAGTAAAACGAAAACAACCTCAATAAAGTCTTTCCACTTTTTGTTGAAACTGCTATTTGTTGTGAAGTATTTAATTTGTTTTTAAGTAAAGAAGGAGAGCCGTCAAAGGGTACATCATCACTGTCTTGGATAGTGCAAAAGATATAATACTTGGCCACCAGGGTGACAGTTGAAAATGTCTTTTGATTCTGTGGACATTTTTATTAGTCCTGCTTATGATCAGAGTAAAGGACGGCGTACTCGCTTTACAAGGTGAGCTAAATAAGCTGGTCAAGATGATCCCAGTTTGACAAGACAGCAATCCACGCTAAATGTACCTTAAATTTGGGAATTACATTTCGATTCACTGTTTCGTATATATTTTTGGTTTCACAGAGGGTGGGTCAGTTGTCAGCAATACGCTGTTAAGTCCTGGATATCCAAACAGCTACCCAAACAATTTGGATTGTAATTACTCGGTACCTATTCCAGACGACATGGCGATGAAGATTTACTTTCACGATTTTGATGTGGAGTATCATCCAACATGCGAGTGATCGAACACGAACCTATTAAAAATGTTATGTCACGATATCCCTATAATTATATATTCTGATTTATATTAGCATATAGGTCTACTAACATTCTACCACGGATGCTGTTCGCTGATTGGCTACGCTACTCACTCTCTATTCTGTTGTAGATAGTGAGCAACCCAGCTGTGAGCGCTTGTTAACAAACTGGCGGCCGCTTCTTTGCGTTTTCGAAGTGTCTGTGAAGAGGATTTAGATAAAGTTTTGAACGAGTAGTGGATTTATACTAAAATAATTAGATGACAATTGATAAACGTGAAAAGGCACCTCATTTTCCCCTAAGATGCACCATATGCAACGTAACTCATTTTATTTTTCTGTTAATGAAGCTATGACTACTTGAAGATTACAAATGAGGAAGGTGAGACATTTGGTATGATATGTGGTTGGCGTTATTGGACAGACGTTGTTGTGACCAGTGACTTCGCCCTACTGATACTCCATTCAGATTCTGAGGTTCAGAAGAAAGGATTCAATATATCTTTCATTGTTGTTCCAAAACTTGGTGAGTGCAATCAAAAAAGTCCTTTTTTACATTGGACACTTGATCTGATCGACTTTGTATAAGTTTGTCCCAAAAGAACGTCTGATGTAATGTACATAAAGTCTGGTTTTTACTACGACATTACCACAAGCACAAGTATAGGGGAATCCTTGTTTACAGTATTCGTCTCATTAGCATAAGCAATTCAGTTTCTGTTGGCGCTACAAATAAATCAGTTCTGAATATTGAAAGGTCATAGTACGATTAACTCCGCCAATGAATATGAGCCTGATGTATTGAATACTTTTTGTCCAACACAGGCTTAAAAACTCAAAACTTTACAAAGAATGTGTGATCTCATTAGCGCTTTTGTCACCCAGAAATTTTGCAGTTTTTGTTAGACCACTTTTCATTGAATATTGCACCCAAAGAGCTAAACATTTCACCGTGTATTTAAAAGTTTCAACAGCTCTTCTGCTTACTGGAGTCAATTCATATCTAACATGTTTCATATTGTAAGCAAAGCCGTATGCTAATGACTGAAAATGGAAATAATGACGTCAGCATGAACCCCCTATAAGCATAACTGGAGCGAGGACGCGCACAGCATAAGCATAAGAACAAGCAGAAAAGAACAAAAGTTTTTGTTCTTCTTGTCCTTGTGCTTATTCTTATTTCAGGTGAGAGCGCGCTGCTGTAAGCATAACATAAGCTTAAGTCCGCCATCTTGTTTTAGTGTATCGAGGAGGTAAGGAACCGAAAATAAGACAGTTATCCATTCTGCGCATGTCTACCTGCTTATGTTTGTATTGTGGGTGTCCTTACTACCGTTATACTTATGCCTTATGCTTGTAATTATGTCGTATAGTAATTAAAACCAGGCTTATTCATAAGTTTGTAAAATTGTCAACTTTTCCGATAGTGCCTGTTACAGACTTTATTGTCGTATGAACATTAATTTTATATTACTCTCCCGCGACATGCATGTATGATTACGTGTCTTGCAACAGGGAGGGAGAATTTTTTTCTTTTCATGTTTTTCTGCACCTCTGTCGTAATCATTCGAGAACATAACAAAATGATACCAAGATGCTTTAATTTATTGAAAGGAAAAAGAACTGGTGAAAGGTCACATGATCAAACCACCATAACACCAAAATGTTTCCGGAAAAGACACAAATTTTGACCACTGTAGCTTGAGTGTTGTTCAAGTTACGAAAGTTTGAGATCAACTCGGACAAAAGTGCCCTGCCCTTTTTATCGCCCATGCTAAACAGCGTTTACTTAACATTATTTCAGGGCCGTCTTAGTTTTCTGGTCGCCTCAAGTACAGCTAGCTCGAAAGAAGCCGAACAGTACGATTATGCAAAAAGTGGAGGTTTACGTTAAGATTCAATTTAATTTTGTAGAGAAGATAGAATGTGGTTCTGTTGTTTACCACACACTGACCAGTCCTGGTTACCCAAACGACTATCCACCAAACATGGATTGTAATTACTCGGTTCCCATTCCACTCGATATGGCGATGAAACTCTTTTTTTTTTCACGAATTTGATATGGAGTATGATTCAAAATGCGAGTAAGTGGAAAGATTACTGTCATTATGTTGAATATTATATTCTAATCAAACAGAGCTCGATATTTTATGTTGAATACATTATTGACCAGGCGCGAGGGCTCTACGGACATAATATAAACCTTGCGGTCTTGACAGTGTGACCAGTTCTCAGCTTCAGTTAAACTCTATCCAGACCCACACACAATTTTCTTATGTGTTTGGAATCTCTAGCGTAGGCTACGACGCTCCCTGGTTTTCCTTTTATTGAAGGATTCCTTGAGAAAGACAGGGCTTACTGGGGCTTGAACGATTCCATGTTTTGGCTTCTGGTATCATGTCAGGTTAACCGTTTTGGCAGTCAAACGCGCAAGGTCATGTTTGGGCTCTGAAATTCAACGAGCGTGTGCAGTAGTAATTGTCAGTTGATCATGCTTTAACGTACATCATCGAGTCATGATGTCGGCGGGACTTTGGAGAACACGAAAGCCAGAAGCACTCTTCAGCGCGCATAACCATAAATGGTCTTACTAATGAGCAGGTTAGACTAGACTGAAATTATATGTCACTTAAGTAAAATATCTGCGACTCTCTGTCCGCATTCCTCTGCGTTGCATTTTTTTCTCTACTTTAAGATATGACAACCGTATTTAAAGATAACTAATGAGCACAACGAGGAATTTGGCGTTATCTGTGGTGAGCAACTTGGGGCAGACGTTATTGTAACTGGCAACTACGCCCAGCTTATATTCCTCTCAGACGCTGAGATACAGAAAGAAGGCTTCTTCATACCTTTCACTGCTGTCCCAAAGTCTGGTTAGTCGTGACTACTTTACCTAAATGGTACAAAATGCTGCCAGAGGGAAGAAGGATGTAAGGAGTGTCAATGCAGAGCAGGGTTGTTCCCATACAGAACTCAGGATCATCGGTAACAGTAACAAACAGGTCTGTTAAATTTTCGGATTACAGCACTCGGCTGCATGCAGCACTAAGCCTCATTACATTTTCATTGTTCTCTTACGGACGAAACTAACGCTCTTGTACAAGTACACCTGGTGTTTCCAGAAACCTCTCAAAGAAATTAAATAGCCTTGTTGCAAGTTTTCTAAATTCCAATATTACATAAGAAATAGAACATTCCAGAAGGTTTAAGTCACTCCTGAAAGGCTTCCGGTTCGATATTTTTAATAACAACTACAAGCCGTAATATTTGTGAAGGATTTTAATAAAGTATATTCTGCCCCCATGTGATTTCCAAAATGTTGAGCAAAGTTGTGCAGATAAAATATAGAAACGGTACCGTTAAAATCTGTGATTTTTTTTATATAATATTAACTTCAAAAGATCGCAAATGACACTTGATGATTATAGGGAACTCTGAGAGAGAGAGAGAGAGAGAGAGAGAGAGAGAGAGAGAGAGAGAGAGAGAATTATTTGAGCTAAAAGGCATTAATTTGATATCTATAAACTATGTTCTCCTTTCCTTGATTTTCAGTCGCCACGTTATTCCCAAGAGCCTTCAGGAACTACGATGTTGTCCAGTTCCCTTTTGCCTCTCATTACTTTTCCCTCCTCTGGCCTGTGACCATCTGCGAGTCGATTTCTTGGCATCTTTGCCTCGTCACCCACCTACAACGAAGATCACCAAACAATTGAGGAAAAATCATCGTCAAAGAAAAAAAATTAAAACTGATATTTAGGCTAGAAGTGGTATGTTTTATTATAGTCCCTTTCTGGTTAAGTTGTCAGGTTGTTAGGTTGTATGAAATTTTTTAATGATAAAAGCCTTGATTATAATTTTTAGGCGAAAAACGGACAGGAGAATTGAGAAGAATTCGAACAATCCGTTTCCCTACTATACTTTGAGTTAAGTGCAAGTTCCTTTTGTTTCGGCAATGTGAAGATTATTCTGAACAATCCAAACTTTACTTAGAGCCTTTGACTTTTGCCAAGCTTAGATGTTTATTCAAGGACGTTCGCGCTAATTGTTTCTGCGCATCCTTACAACGCACGCAAATTTTCGCGCCACGTCATGCATGAGAGCGCGCGCTAAGTAATAAAATAAACAACGATTGGGCAGATGGCCATTGCTACAGCTTTGCCTGGATTTAACTATCTTGAACGTTCAGTGATCCCTATTTTTCCTTTGATAGATCATTTTGTCCACCGATTTTCTACGTTTAGCGAAAAAATGAAGAAAATCTATCGATTAGCAGTTTGAATTTTTGGCAAAATGCACCATCGAATTCTGTTCTTTTGAGCTCTCCGTTTATCTGTGCGAAGGTTGCAAATGCCTCTTAAAGGGTTAAGTTTTGTGAAAACCTTGATAACATTTGGAATTATTTATGCAAAAGACCTACTTCTACAAAATATGACTAAGATCGTTTGCCTTCGTTGATTATCCTTCGATATTTTTAACAATAAACCCCTGTAGGCCATGCTGATTTACCCGCGCCAATTTTTTAAAGTCGGGGTAATTTTCCACACACTTTATCTCTGAAACGAAGTCGGTGACCTCCAATTTTTTTCTTACATGTCTGACACAAGTAACTTATTATCTGACTCCAGTAAAAATTTAAAGAAAATCCATCGACTGGAAAATTTTCGCTCGAGCGTCCTTAAACTTGAGTATTTTGACTTTGTTTGTCTACATTTTCATTGAGCATTTTTGACTTTGTTCGCCTACATTTTCATTATAATTGATTCGAAGAAGCGAAATTTTTGTTATTGACAATTTTAGAAACCAGGTTAGGCGGTTTCCTTCAACCGTCTCTCAACTAATTCCGTGTGGCGTGTTAGGATCCTAATGACCTTGCTTTCCTTTACCGTGTATTGTGAGAACTTTGTAGTCAATCACAAATAAACTTGTTTTAGCGCCCAAGTTGTTGTCGCCATGTTATATATATAAAAAAGGTTCATGCTTTTAGCTGTGCGTATATCGAGTTATGGATGCACTTGGGAAGTTTGGAGAGCACGCTAGGCATGAACAAATTCTTTATTATACCGGCAACCCTATATCGATGGAGCGTCNATACGGAAAGTACACTCAATCGAGCTGCGAGTACTGTTACACTGGGCTGAAGCCGGTCGTCTTCATTAAAATTAAACTGTGGTCTGAAGCGCTTTACCCTTACAATGGACTCTTGGATGAAAGCTCGGGTTTTTGCACTATTCTGGTTTATCCTTTGCGTTTGGTTTCGCCATCGAAGCGACGGAAGCAACTCAACAAGACAGCTGTGCCCGAAGCATCAAGACATTAACAGCAAAGATGGATAAACTTCAGGCCGATATCAAGGCGATTGCTCATGGACTGGGTCTCTTGAATCCAAGTGGTACAGTATTGCATCCTTCATGTTTTAAGCTTTGTGTTATCTGAACTGATACTCGAGTGATGGCAAAACAGGCAGCAAGCATTCAGGGCTTTATTCGCTTTACTTTAATCAATTTCACAATGATTCCTGTTGCAATTTCTCACACAGGCTTATCCTACACTTCTTGTAGAGATATTTACCGGAATCAGAAGTAAGTAATTGATTAAATAAATTCTAGTTATGCATCTTTCAAGGATTTTAGGCGCAACCTTTGGTTTTAAAACTTGCATAATCAGTTGTTCGTAAAATATTTCCAAAGCAGAATCAAAATGTTAAACTACCGCGAACTTCCGGAATCTTCTCGAGCGAAGAAAACATCAAGTGTCACGTGGTCTTTGATGACCGAAGTCACGTGACAAAATGTCTTGATTGACTTAACCCCAGGCTAAGTTTTCGATATTGACCGTATTTGATTCATTCATCAGGTCTCGAGGAAATAAGGCTTATACCCTCCAGACTGACGTCGGAAAAGTTTCAGTCTACTGTCACATGACGAGTATTGAGGGATGCGGAGGTAGGGGGTGGACGCTGGTCATGAAGATTAACGGCCACAAGGTAATAAATACACCGAAAGGCATATTATAGAAACGCGATCTGGTGACCTTGCCATACATCTATCAGTAAAAAGGTGTTTCTACGGAATGATTGCCAGAACTGATTTTGGAGTAGCAAAGAGTAATAAAAATATAACATTCTATGGCGGTTTGAAAGTCAGTTTGAAAAAAAAACATTTGAGGCGCTTGTCTCCAGGCAAATCCCATGGTTCCCAGCGCCCCTGGCATTACTAGTATCTAATCCCTCCGCGATTGAAAACGTATCATGTTTTCCACGTTACGTAGATCAGAAACCCTTTTATTCGAGAACGTTCATTGAAAGGGAGATCAAGGGGAGTAAAGTACGCAGTAGGAACAAAAAAAATAACTAAATGGACAGAAAAAAAAATTATTTTGCGGTACCTGCTCATTTGACAATCAATGTTTTACTGCTTTCTTTCCTAGTCAACCTTCCACTACGATTCTGACTACTGGACCAGCAAGACCGAGTTCAACCGGCGAGGAGGGCAGACTGGGTTCGACTTTGACGAAACCAAGTTACCAACCTACTGGAATACGCCATTTTCTCAGATTTGTGTGGGCATGAAGATTGGTCATCAGATCAAGTTCACCCGTATCAGCGTGAACGCCAATTCTCTGTA